TCTCTCTCTCTCTCTCTCTCTCTCTCTCTCTCTCTCTCTCTCTCTCTCTCTCTCTCTCTCTCTCTCTCTCTCTCTCTCTCTCTCTCATGCGCGCGGGGCACACAAAACTGGGCAATTGTTCTCACTGTGGTTCTTCTTTCTCCTCGTACCTTCATCGTCCCTGCTTCTCAATCAGTCTCCATGGTGTACTCCATCCATTCTCACTCTATCGTTTTTAGTTGTTCTACGTGAGAGACCCCCCTCCTTCCTTGTCCCTCTTCTACCTATTCCTTCGCCCTCTTTGAAAAGGTGCCCGGCTTCTTCCTCCTCCCTCCTCTGTCCATTGTTGCTCGTCCATCTACCGTTGGCGTGCCCTCGTGGCACTTTTTTTTCTTCTTTTTTTCTTTGGTGTGGTTTTTCCTCACTGCGTTGTCCATCCTTCTCTCCCACCCACCACTTCTGTTCGTTTGTCGATGCTCCCCGCTGGGCAGTCCTCTATTCTTCTCGTCCCCTCTTCACGCCTTTCTTTTCTTATTCTTTGTGCATGGCCCGTGCTCACTCCTCTTCTCCCATCCACCTCTCCTGCTCGCTTGTGGATCCTTCCCGTTCGTTGTCCATTGAACCTCTTTGCTGCTTGCCTCCCCTGGAGGTCGAGTTCATCAGCCCAAGTGGTAAATCAGTATCGGAAGGGGAGAGAGACAGAATGCACACCTATTTTTGCCATAGCCATGTCTACGTCGAGATCGTGTCCATCGCGCACCTCCCTGCCTCCCTCACAGAACAACGAATGGCCAGTTTGCACCTCATGCACATAGTAGGCAGCGATCTGCACTCGCAAACACAATCCCGCTTGTGCATTCCAGGGCGCAAATGTGAACGGTTCGAACAGTGCAGCCACACTGGCCAAAACAGGACAGGCGGGCACACTTTTCCCGCTCGCTCTCGGCAGCTGCCCGCTGCTCCCTGGGATGAGCTGCGACCCACCGGTACCACCTCCCGACCGTTTTTTTGTTGGGCCCACAAGGTAACGCTATGCGAGGATTTTGATATTTTTTTTGAGGAGTGAGCAACAGGCTAGGATAGGAAAGAG